TTTGAGAGAGGCGGGGCATAGAGGACCTACAATAATGTACAGTATTTGAAAAATAATGTGTTTTTTGAACATTAAAGCATGTCAACATATTCTGTTACACCAAATACACAAAATAATGATCTTTAAAAAAGCATCATATGACCCCTTTAAAAGCTATTATATCCAGTGGGGCCATCATCATTAAGCATCATTAGCATGCTTTTGCCACCGTAAGCTGTTGACATGATGTGTAGATTTTAGACTATAGTCTCAGCCTCACACCCACGGACCACCACAATCCGTTTACTGACCGTCTGATGCACATTGAACACAAAAGACCCCAAATCCCACCCTCAGGCCCATGCTTTTTTACTTTTGGATGAACAGAATTTTATGACAAAGTCTACATACATTTCTACTCATCTGCCATTTTTAATTGTGTTCTTCAATTTGAACAAATTTTTTTCTATGGAGGTTTATTATTGGGGAATGTACTACACGCTCAAAAATAAAGGTTCCAAAAGGTTGTTTTTTTTGCACCGATGCCATTGAAGAACTATTTTTGGTTCCTCAAAGAACCTTTCAGTGAACAGTTATTAAAAGAACCATAATTTTCTTAGTGTGAAGAACATTTTAATAATCTAAAGAAGCATTTTTCCACTGTAAAGAACCTTTTGTAGAATGAAAAGTTTCCATTGATGTAAAGGGTTTTTCATCAATGCCACTAAAGAAGTATTCCGTCACTCAAAACTCTTGCACGCTCAAGTTCGTTATTTCAAATGTAGACGCACGGCAGGCGCGCTCATAATGGAAGCAAAACAGTCCTCCATAAAATGTGCTGCACACATCTGAATATTTGGGTTGAACTGTTCTGGAACAGTGTTGTAAATACAACTTAACCACTGATTTCTAGTTGTATTTTCTTTTGAAAGGCTAAACAAATTAGTTTCACTTTCACAACGAAACACACGGCGGGCTAGAGTGAGCGGAGGCAGGCGGCTAGAGTGAGCAGAGGCAGCGGGCTTGAGAATGGTGCAACCGGCGGATTCGACGAAGGAGCGGCTGGCGGGCTTGTGGCAATCACATGTAACGACCCTGGGCTGGACTCCGCTTCGTCCAAGGTGAAAGCCGATCCGGCGATCCACAGCGTGAAGTTGATGTATTTCCTCAGCGACCAGCACGGATCAGCTCCAGGCATGACGAAGCGGATATCGTCCTCTTTTGGAAGACCAAACAAAGTAGTTTCACTTTCACAACGAAACACACAGTGCCTTCACGACATGGAGGCGGTGGCAACAACAATACTACACCGAGAATCAAAGTTACGCCTTCTTTTTTTGCGTGAACATTTGGGCGGCGTTATGCAAATCTTCCCACATCGTGACGTAGATATGTGGGGGCGTGTTAGAACGAGACGTTTTAGGTAGGTGTGGTTGACTCTTAACTTTTATAAAGAATATCTCTTTGGATTTGAGACTTTAGTCTTTGCAACTTTACAGATCTTCTTTATGCACCAAGAGCTTGTAACACTCCAAAGAGAAAGGAAAAATTGAAATCGCATCATATGACCCCTTTTAAAAAAATGTTAAATCTAATTAAAAAATAATAATCCCCCCCTTATTAAACATTAATAAGTCTTTATTTTCTAATATTGTAACATTTATTTTGAGCTAATTCACTGAATGTTTTTTTTTTCAAAATGAAAATAGCCTATTGACTTAAGCCAAAAACTAACCATTTCAAGTCATGAAACATGGTGCAATCACTTTTAAATGAGAAAACTGATACAATGGTGTTAAATCAAAATGAATGTTTAAATAAAGTGAACAGCATCTAAAAAGCATTTTTAAAAGGGATGTTAAAAGAAAACAAACTGTGATCTGTCACTTTACATGTTGGTCTCCTCCTGTCTAATGAGGCAGTGCATGGCTAGAAAAGTTGTAAAGTAGTGCAATAAGACTATATAAGATAATCAATAAGAATCTTGAAGAAGCCAAATGATATATGCTATCTTATACACAAACACACAAAAAATCTTGCACTAGAATGCTTTCTCATGGTTTTCCCTCCAGGAATATTTAGCAGTTATTTTTCTTAACTGAGAATTATGGTTGGTTTATGTCAATTTTACCGTAATTTCTGCTCTTCTCAATTACCACGCAGCAGATATATTGTATGGGGAAACCGCAGGAGTAATGTAACATACGGCTCATCAGTTGACAGATTGTTTGAAGTCTGACAATATTGCTGGAGAAACAGAGCTGACAAGTACTTCATCAAATATTCTTTGACTTACAGTGAAAGAGTCTGTTATTAATAATACAGCAAATGAGCCAGAACAAAAATAAGTGTCAAACTCAGAGTGAATGCGAATGGGATGGTTGCTATGATTCAATATGAGTAAATATTACTTCATACTTCACCTGATTGTTGATACAAGGAATGAAACAGGCTACTGGACTGCAAACATAAAAGTTAAGAAGTAATCACCTTTTTAAAAATACAGCTTACTTTTATTTCCTAATAAATCAGTGTTATAGTATTTATTTATATACTATTATAGTATTTTTTTATATTTTGAATTTGCTTTCATTTTTTTAGTGTTCATTTTAATATTCGTTTTTTCATTTAATTTTAGTTTAACATTTA